AGCTCACAATCTCTAGAGCACCAAAAACAACCCCGAAAATAGAAAATCCTAAAGCCCTAAAGCCCCATATATATAGCCTAAATCCCTAGACCCCAAGACTCCGGAACCCTAGAACCCTGTATACAGCCGGTGCAAGCCTAAAGCCCTTTACAAGGCAAGCCCCGTAACCTGGATCCCGGAACCCTGCACTATGCTACTGCTTAGGAGTTCTATTCTATCTGATATGTTCCTATCATCTTGATATGTGCATAGTCGTTAGGACATTAATATAGAACCCGAAGCCCCCCAACGTTGCAATTGTCTGCTCTTTAAAGCAGGTTGGGGATTCAGGGTCTCGGGATACTACCACCCCCGATTAGGCCCAGGCCATAAACCTGAGCTCGTGAACAGGCATACACAAAGACCATAAACCGATAGCTTGGCTAGAACCCCGATGCCCCAGGCCCTGAGCTCTAAACCCCTAAGCTAAACCCCTAAGCCCTAAGCCCAATAAGCCCTGAGCTCTAAACCCCTAAGCTAAACCCCTAAGCCCTAAGCCCAATAAACCCTGAGCTCTAAACCCCTAAGCTAAAACCCCTAAGCCCGAAGCCCAATAATGCGTCTTTCAGAGTGTCTTTGACCGTCTCGGCAAACGAGGCTAGCAGCGCCAAAGACCTGCAAGAAGCCGCTCAGGCCATGATCCGGGAGTCGGGAGGGAGATCGTCATTTCTCACGAAAAAAATAGCAGCGGCCGGCAGCCACGGGAAGTACCGACAGAACGTTTCCCGTGACATCGGTCGTGCTATTGATTTGCCGCTGGAAGCTTGCTTTCTATATAAGCTATATGTTATGTTCCAGAACTTTTGTTATTCTGTCAGGTCTCGCAACCTCTAGTCTGGATATGATCATTAATGTGGCCGAGGACCTTCATTTCATCAAGATTCCGATCTACTCCGAAGTCGACAGAAGAACTGAAGCTGAACTTTCTGTTCCGTTCATCATGCCTCATGAGTTGTTTGCCTTCCTGCACGCAGCCTGGCCCCATATGTACGCATGTGCTATTTTTGCAAGCTATTTCGAACATTAATGTGTGTGTGTGTGTGTCCATGCATGTGTGTGTGTGTGCATGTATACACATATAATTATCGCTGCACTTTGCAATCAAGGACAACAACCTGCTTCGAATCAGCCCTGACGATCTGGCTAGCTACTGGGAGAGACAAGAGGCAGGTCTTGGGTACAAGCCACCCGGCTTCGGGAAAGTGCCTTTAGGAATATATGGCGATGACGCACGGTTTACCAAAAGTGGCGACAAAATCATCATGGTTTCTGTCAATGCAGTGTTGCACGAGCCTAGAGTTGGGGAAATCAAAAGATATCCAGTATTCACTTTGAGGGAGTACTTGTGTTTGGGCAACCGCTCCTTATTCCCTGTCTGCCGTATCCTGGCCTGGAGCTTCAACGCAGCTCGTCGCAGAATGCAGCATTCCTTATATCATGTCAGCTTAGTATTACTAGTGGTGCAGGTACATGCACGGTCGATCAGAACACTTGCTTTTGCTAGGTTCTGTACCATGGAGTCCACCCGTTGTATGACTTGGACGGAAACAAACTCCCACGCGAAAAGGCTCAGCTGGCTGGACGTCCCATTGCAGGACAGGTCTCGCAATCCTCCATATCGATGTAGTACGTGTAGCCCAGCAGCGCCAGATTCAGCACTCTATGGCATAGAACATGGCTTCAATCATTAATTTACATTAACAATTGCACCGCTAAGGCACTACTAGATGTAAACCCGGATAGCTAGAAATTTTTAATTTAATTTATGGATTAGACTATACTGGGGTTTCGGGTAGGGGCTCGGTTTCGTACTCCAGGTGGAACGACAGCTGTGCTTTGCGAGCATCGTGGGGACTGGAAGTGGGTGGTCCAGTTCTACAACATAACTGCTTGCTGGTATACTGCCCCCAAAGTATGTCACATGTGCAAAGCACAAGCCTCTGGTCCCGAAGCGCCTGCTGGCTGTTCATAACATATGATCTTTTTTTAATGTAGGATCTAGCAGCTGCAATGCCCCGAAATTGCCCTTCCAACTTATAGCTAAGGTGGGACCTTTCCTTGGACCGGGAGTTCGAACGGCGCTCCAACGAGGATGCACTGGTCAATGCTATGGCTGATCTAAACCCACTCACAGCATGTGTGGGATTTACTGTTGAACACATACATCCATGCACGATGCACTGTGTGAATCTGGGCACGTTACAGGCCCACAACGGGGCCCTGATACAGATTCTGTGTCAGCACAGCCCCTTCCTGCTAATCCTAGCACAGTACTTTCCAAATTTGCTGCAGGTTGGTTTTTGAGGGGTTAGTCTGGTTCAAGCGAATTCAAGAATATCTTCGATTCCTTGATTCGAGGATTCTTCGGCGATGGCAAGCTCTCTGATCAGCTTCATCGGGCCACGGCCCGGTTCCGTGTCTGGGCTTCGGGCAACAAGCTTGAGTCACTGGGCAATTATCAATTTTCGAGGCCTCCATACGTATACTAATTAATTGTATATGTACATATAAGCTAGCATGAAAACCAATAATTAAGATTTTTTTTCGGATTAAGTAGGGTTCTTTAAGATTCGGTTGCTTGGCTTATATATAGGCACTCCGTGCCATGGATAACAGCTGGCATGGTTCACGACGGGAAACCGGGCAGTTATGCCTCACTGACTTTAAAAGCATACAACGGCCGCCTCTTTGTGGCATTTCTGCTAGTTTGTATCTCAGAGCTGGGGAAACAACTGTTGCATCGAGATGCTGAAGTGGAGATGGCTATCCTGGCTACGCGCACTCTTGTGCGTTGGTTTCATGCACAAGAAACTGCACCTCGCTTCCTCACACTAGAGACACTCGGCTGCTACAGTAAGGTTTCACGGATTAACCAGCTTCGAAATTCATACACTAAGCTTATTCTAGTTTTTCCTGGGGCTGACAGGCAAGCTGAAGAAATCTTCGATGCTACTTGCAGCTATCTTCGGATGTATGAGTCGTTGGCAAGATTCGGAGTGCAGCACAACCTGTTCAGATGGAAGTGCCTGCCCAAAAATCATGCCACCCAACTGACAACAACATGTTTGTGTTATACCTGTATCTGTAGTAATAGTGCCGAAACAGGAAACGATGATAAGACACTCATCTCCTGCCGAGATGCTACGACACGTCGCTGAGAATGCGAAAAAGTATTTGTACAATCCCAGATACCTACACACCTACGTCGACGAAGATGTTATAGGACAATGGAAACGACTATGTGTGGGAATGCCGAGCAATTTGGGAAGAAACATTATTAGCACTGCTTTTGAGTAGAATTTTTTAGGGCCTTCTCCCGAAAGCTCCAGCCTGGCCGGCCCAAAGATATATTTGTGCCGAGGTCGATTGATGGAATTCAGACTGCTGTCGCGCTTTATGCTTCGTCTCGGTGCTTTCCGTCGCGACCGCTCATGAGCTCGTTCGAAGCGAGAAGAAATGAAGGGTCGATGGGATTTCAGGATGTTCTTAAGTTCGGGGATTTAAATTTAGGTTCAGGTTTGCCCCACCTCAATCTGAAAGCTTTCGTGTCGATATCGGAAGCTTAAAACCCAAAGCTTTACCAACATATCTTCAAGCAAGGCCAACCCCGAACTCTTAAGTTCAGACCCCAAATCTTGAAACCTCGCTCGAGGCGCTGCAAACCTGAACTGCAACAGACGATCATCGCACATTTCTCTCTAAAACAGATCGAAGCCAACCCTTATAGAGAAAACCCACTAAGCTACGATCGTCAAGCCTAATATAAATATACAGGAACCTTAAACACCCTTATCCAAACCCATAACTCCCAGTCCCTAAACCCTAAAGGCTCAAAATTCTTGTGGCTCAAAATATTCCTTTTGAAGTCTTTGTTGTCGTGGCTCAATGTGTTCTATATATGGGCCCCGGCCCTGACTGGATCCATTGGGTATGCATTCATTGCATACTGATATCTTGGGTATGCAATTCATTGGATGCTGATATCTTGGGTGTGCAATTCATTGGATGCTGATATCTTGGTTGTGCAATTAATTGTGAAGTTATATGTCTTCGAAAATCCCTAACGTAGACCATTGTCCTGGAGAAGGTTCCGTTTTCCTCCTACGCAGTCCAAAAGCTTTCAAATAAGCAGCCTTTGGAGCCCCGGGGTTATATTTGGGGTATATTATACTATATTATATAGTTATAATATAAGGAACCCCCCCCAACTAGTATAGCCCCTAAACCCTAATCCCTCATGGACCCTAAGGCCCTAAGCCCCTAAACCCTAATCCCTCATCCCTCATGGAGGGTAATTCTTAAGGCCCCCAAAGATCATGCAGCGCCTGGGGCGCAGTCGGAGTTCCCGGAGGGACGCAGGCGCCTCCAGGATTTGTGGTATATCAAGTTCCTCACCTACCTAGGGGTTTAGGGGTTTAGGGGTTTAGGGTTTAGGGCTTTAGGGCTTTGGGGGTGTAGGGGTTTAGGGTTTTAGGCCCCTTAGTAGTTCTTTTTTGTGGGATTACCTTATAGGATTCTAAATAATATAAACCATAAAACTTAGGCGCCTATGGGTACCTAGAGTCTACATGGTAGTTCCTGGTTTTGGTTTCACCAGCTATATATGAAGTCCTTTTTGGTTTAACCAACTATATATAAAGGATCCTATAAGGTAACCAAAAGCAACTACAACGGAGACTCTAGGAAATGTTTCAAGCATGCTCCGAAAGAAGGGCGCTTCTGCTTCTTCTTCTTGCGACTGAACCTGCTCTGTAGTCGCTGCAGTGCTGGCTTACTTTTGTTTCGCTAGAATGCTTGACAAGATAGTAGAGGGCGAGCAGCAGCAACACTCAATGTCCCATGTGAGATGGGATGGTCTGCTTACTGAGATTTAAACCGACCACAACACAAAGAGGTCAGGGATTTGGCTACGCACACAAAAAAGACCATATTGTTGAATGACAAGACCCACTCAAGCACCCTAAACTACGGAACCGTGGTATGTTTCTTTCTGAGTATGTTTCTATAATGTAAGCTGGATTCTCCCCATCGGCAGACATGCTTCCACGGACTTTCTATCCAACGCCCCCACCACCAACAAGAAGAATAGACGACTGCTGAAAGCACAAAGCAAGATCTGCGGCCTTTCTACGTTCGGTGCATGCGGGTCTCTTGCGTCCGCTGGTAGCTACTGGAACAGTCATGGTCGTTGGAGCATGACTCTGGCGAAGCCTCCAGTGAGCTTTTTTTATATGCATCCAGGCCCTTCAACCATATTTAAAGACATACTGCTCTCTGGCCTGGCCGGCTAAGAGAAGGAAAGAGGCTCAGATATCAAAGGCAAGAGGCTCCGGATCTGGGGTTTTAGGGATGTTTCGGGTTTGGGGCTTCGGGTGGCTGATGCTGGGCGAAAGAGCTGGGCTGTGGGTTTAGGCCCTATAAATCCTAGACTTTAGGGTGCGGGCTTAGGCTTACAGCCCAGGGGGTTGGTAGGGCCTTTTGTCGCTTCCATGGAAGAACCGTGGTCTCTGTACCGGCCCACTGCAAGCAAGCACGTCTCGAACCACTCGCAATTCCCCCTCAACCAGGCAACCACAGGTCCTTGCGCAACTATACCTGAGCATTAAGACAGCAATCAGCAAAGACATCTTCGGGCCTCGGGTGTTCATTCCCTGCTCACAAATCGGGCATTCAGAGATGCGGAAAGGCCACGATCGAAGATTTTAGCCAGATGTGCGTGTGTGTGTGTGTACCCATAAACTCCATAGTAGTTCCTTTTTGGGGTTTATATTTAGAATCCTATAAGGTGATCCCAAAAAGGAATTACT